TTTCCAGCCTCCAAGTCCTAAACCCTAATCCACGAAACCCTAGAGTGTCTTGTGAGTTGTGAGCCATTCTTGAGTGTTTTGGTGTGTTCTTGAAGCTAAAAGAAGAAGAAGAAGCTACAAGGTTCAAGGAGAAGATAGTAGATCCAGGGATTTCCTTCCATCCTCATCACTTTCTGGTAATCAAGTCTCTAACTTGACCATTCATTTCTTAGATCTATTTACTTCCATTTTATGAGGGTTTTGGTGCAAGAACCTTGGTCTTTGGGATTTGGACGTCCCAAGTGACTTATATTTCAGATCTGGGATCTAGGAGGGGTTCCATGGCATAAAGATGCAAACTTTATGACCATGGAAGCCCCATGCAATCTTATAAACGTTAATATGGCCTTTTTAGACCTAAGAGGCCATGTTTGGAAGGAAAGCTAGGAACTTTACGTGTCCGACTGATGTTCAAAGCCTAGATCTAGTATAGTGTGCCTTGGTTTAGGGTATTATGGCTTGTGGACCAAGATCTATGTTCTAGAGAGTTAGGGTTTGAGCTAAACCCATTAAGAAGGATTAAGAGTGGGTAAAGTTGGAAACTTTACCCTTAAAAGTGTATTCCCAGTGTGTAGGTGAAGTATGGAGTTTAGATCTGAAGGGTAGGAGCTTAATCCATTAAGATGGCTCAATCAAACAAAGGAACTCGACGAGTCGATAGAGGGACTCGACGAGTTGAGTTAGTTTGTCTCGTTTTAGTTTCAGGTAGAACTCATCGAGTCGGTGAAGGGACTCGACGAGTTAAATCGGTAGATCGTAACTGTGAGTAGCCTGGGAACTCGACGAGTCAGGGGGAGACTCGATGAGTTAGATTTCAATTTCAGGGTCTAGGACTCGACGAGTTGATGGAGCAACTCGACGAGTTGGGTCAACCAGAAGGTTGACTTTGACCCAAGCGTTGACTTTGACCAGGGGTAAAATGGTCATTTTACCCTAAGAAGGATTATCAGATTTTGATTAAGTGTTATTATGAAATTTATAGTCGGGGAGTCGTCGTAGCAGCAGTTAGGGATTCCTTACTCGAGATTCCAGCAATCAGCCTTACGAGGTGAGTTTCCTTCAGTAGGAACGGGTCTACGGCACCAAGGCCAGCCCGTATATGTGATACGTTGTAGCTGAGTGTGGGCGGGGCCCGAATCTCATAGTAGCTAAGTGTGGGCGAGGCCCGAATCTCGTAGTATTATTTGAGTATAGATATGTGACTGCTTGATAGGAATAGATATACTTGTTGTCTGTGTGATACTTGTATGCATGTTAGACAGCGGAGTGTGGGCGGGGCCCGAATCTCCTAGGCAGCGGAGTGTGGGCGGGGCCCGAATCTCCTAGGCAGCGGAGTGTGGGCGGAGCCCGAATCTCCTAGACAGCAAAGTGTGGGCGGGGCCCGAGTCTCCTAGACAGTGGAGTGTGGGCGGGGCCCGAATCTCCATGAGAGTGGGCGAGGCCGAATCTCCTAGTTTCATGTTATGTGTATGGTATGTGGTAGTTTGGGGAGACTCACTAAGCTTCGTGCTTACAGTTTTCAGTTTTGGTTTCAGGTACTTCCGGTAGCAAGGGGAAGGGCTCGGGATGATTGCAGTGCACACACCATTTGTTCGGCCTGGGATGTTCATACTCTGAGATTTGATATACATTTATATGATGTTTTGAGATATTATGACATGTGTTTTGATTAACTAGGGTTTTATTAATAACTAAAAACGAAATTTTTGGTCTGTATTTTTGGGATGTTTCATGTATCTAGCCTTTACTCACAATAAACAAAGAAATAACAACAAAAATATTTAAAGTTTAAATGACAACCATAATCCTAGTTCTTTAGAAAACATATTATTTAAAAATAGTTTTGATTTTCTTTTTTGAAGCAATATACATGAAATCCTTTGTCAAGAGTTTAAAGAAAGAACAAAAAACGATTTAGAGCTTAAAGAATAACCACAAACCACTATTCATTAAAAAAGATAAACAAAACAAAAACATTTTCTCTTTTTCCCATCAAATTAATACAAAAGAAAGACATGGTTAAGATAACGTAATTTTAGTTAAAACAACCCTTTGAAAAAGAAAACGCATATAAAACTTAGGTATCTAAAACAATAAACATTAAATTTTCTAGAAAACCTTAAATCACAAAACTAAGGGACTGAAGTTAGAGAAAACAATATTAGTTGAGAAAACTAAATGACTTTATTTGTTTGAACGAGGAAACCATTTTATATAGATTAAGAACTTCCTACAAGAATTGTGAATGCAAAAAGAAGATTGGGTACTGCATTGTGACAACTAGAGTGTAGTTCATTTGCCAAAGAATCCAGTGTTACATAGTAAGAAGAAACACAATCGAATGAGGTACCATTTTATCATGGAATTGATAGGTGATAGTATTATGAACCTAAAGAAGATCATTGTTACAAAGAATCCAACATATATGTCTATCAAGGTGGTGGCAACATAGAAATTGAAGTTAGGTATGGATTCAACTGGCTTTCTACGTACTTGAAGAGAATGTGCATACTAGAGAGAAATTGGGGGTTATAGAGTTTTAAAGTGGATGGAAGCAATTAATTGATCAGCTTCCAAGTAAGAGATTGTTAAGTTATGGATCTTGATTCGCCCTTTAACCCTATATCCATTACTCATGCCAAACATAGGCTAGTTCATATATCATATATGACATTAAAATGCGTCATGGACCAGATTTGTCAGAGTTTATAGGGATGACATTATTACACGATTTTATGTCAACTTGCTCTTATGTGTATATATATATATATATATAGATATATATATATATATATATATATATATATATATATATATATATATATATATATATATATATATATATATATATATATATATACACATAGATTCCTTGAATTTGTGTAACATAAGCTAATCAAAGATTGTTGAAGATCAAAGTATTATGTTTATAATTTTCGAAATGTACTTTTGAGTTTCGTCGTATTGATCTTTTGTACATACTTTCTTCTATATTCATTTTCACATATTCTTTGTATTTTGGTTTCGAAGTAATTGAGCTTTGCATATGGTTAATCCTTCGAAACAAACAAGTGTTGCAGCATACATGCATGTATAATGCCATAGTCTTTGGGAATCTTTTCTTTTTGAGCTTTAATGACGTACTATGCTCCACATGTAATTCAATAATATGTTGATTGTGCCACTTACCATCTTATATATATATATATATATATATATATATATATATTATATATATATATATATATATATATATATTATATATATATATATATATATAGGTGTATGTGGGCTTAGGATTATGAGTGCACAAAAACATTCATTTACATTGTAATCCTTTGTTTCCCGACTGATATTTCATAACTGGATATTGGAGTTTGTTGAATAAATATGTATTTAAAATTTATTCTGTTGTGTTGATTATTTTTCGCATCATATTTTCCTTAACTGTTTTTGTGTTCCAATAAAGATAGCAGAGATGTAATTTGGCAGTAATCAATAAAATATCTCTCTCTCTTTCTGAACTACATTAAACATTGTGTTCTTCTTTTCGTTTGCATTATTATTTATTACATATGTGTGAAATCAATTTTTAGGCTCTATTACCATGTACAAAAAATTTAGTTTCACGATCTAAAACATTTATTAAAACACTTATAAAATAAAGAATAAAAAGCTTGCTTCAAACCAAATATTCAACGATTACACGACACCAAACAACATAACAATACTTATAAAGGAAAATAATCACAAAGTGACAACATGAAACTATAAATCATCAATAAATGACGGAAAATCTAATCTAAGCACTATATGTCTTCTATCAAAGAGAACTAAAAAATATTTATGCTTAGTCATATCATATTAACCAATATATAACAATATATAGGGTATATTTACAATATGACAATGTATTCTCACATAACCCCCTTCGGCTCTTCGACAGCCCTGACAACTTTCATTTCTTCTACTTTGTCTAATTTAGCCCTTGCATTCATCTACAACATGAGTCCATAACTCCACCAACTAACAACTATAACCCTTCAGTTACATAATTACTACATCTTAACTGAACAGAGATAAGAAACCTACATAATTCAATGTTAAGATTTCTACAAAGTGTTAATTTTCGATAATTCTACACCACATTACTTGTACTATATCACAGTCTGTATCTACTTTGAGACCCATATTAATTTCAACTATATCAAATGTTAGATGATAGGAAGTCTAACATCACCGACATGATATATTTAAGAAATTTAAAGTAAATGTTATATTCTTTAGAAAATCATATGTAAATGTCAAATTAAACATAAAACGGGACGACATTTTATTCTATTATCTATCTTATCAAACCTGTCTTGAAAATCAATGTTTAAGATTTCTGTAAAAGTTTATGACTATATAAAAAACAAAAGATAATTAAATTAATTTGTATCTAAAGTATGAAAAATTATTTGTATACAATAATTTATGGTTTATAGAGTTGTACAACAATATAACATTTTAAAACATATATTGTTGTTTATAGAGAAAAAAAAATGTTATATACAAATAAGATCTTTTAAAATAAACATGTTTTTTACTTAAGTTTAAATAAATCTTCAATACTATTTTAAAACAATGTTTAAAAAAAATTATAAAATGTCTCTCTTAGGAAAAATTTACACATTAACATAAACATAGTTAATTGTTTATACTTCTAAAATACGAAGACGGCACGAAGTTATTTTAGTTGCACGAGTCGGATATATAAATCTTCCAAAAATAAATTGAGTAAACATCACGCTCTCCAAAAGGCGCGTGACTTACGAATAGAGTAATAGACGGTGTGATGTCACCAACTTATTTATTTATTCCATTATTACCCCCGACCATTAGACGACCTTTACTTATATCATTAAAAAGGCTTTCATTCCACCACAATTTTTTCGAAAGAATCCACCACGCCATTCACGATGAGGAAGCTCTACAACCACAATAAAGGCAAAATCCACCCATCACCGCCGCCGTCCGCCACCGCCGATCACTTATCCTTCCTACCGATCGCCATAGCCACTCTCGCCGCCGCCCTTGCACCCGAAGACAAAGAAGTATTGGCATACCTTCTCTCCTGCTCTGTAACCACCACCACCACCAACAACAACACCAACAATAACTTCTCCGGCAACGGAAAACCCACCAGTAAAATTCACGGCGGAGATTGTGGCGGAGGCGGAGGCGGAAGCCATATTCCGCAATTTAACTGCGACTGTTTTACATGCTACACAAGTTACTGGGTTCGATGGGATGCGTCGCCAAATCGACAACTGATTCATGAAATCATTGATGCTTACGAAGATGGGTTGATTCATAACAAGAAGAGTGGGAAGAACAAGAAAGAAAGAAGAAAGAACAAAGTTTCTTCATCTTCCCCCAACGCGCCGATTACCGCTTCGGAGAAGGTTTCTCACGCGCCGCCGCAAGTCGAGGAAAAATTGATTAACAGTGATTATGATGATGATGGGGATGAAGAGGAATTGATGATTGGGTCATCATCGGAGAAAGGATCAGTGAGAAAATTTGTAAGTTTCATAGGAGATAGGATTTGGGGTGTTTGGGGCATTTGAATCTTTAATTTTAAATTTTGGTATATTTTGAAGAACAAGAAATCAATTTCTCCATTTTTGTAAATTCAGGGGTGGTTTTTTCTTGTATTTTTTTAATCATTTTTCCAAGCGTATAACTTGTAGCAAAATGATGTTTTTTGATTTGTTCTTGAAGTACCAAATGGAAATAAATAAAAATTATTTTTATAAGTATTTCTTTATTATCATGCTCAATTAATTACGACTCATTGTTCTTATCTTTTGTGTGAATAATATAACCTCTCGTGTTATAAATTTAATATTTAATTTTGACACATGGTTTAGATAAATTATTCTCAAACAAGATAATCAAACTTTACACACTAAATAATATGGATTGTATTAACCAATTTTAAAGATAATAACAATTTTTCATATATATTTTTTATAAGAACAAAAAAAATGAAAATATAAATGTAGTAATGTATAGGCACTTGCATGTAATTATGTAAACAATACTAAAAATGATGTTGACACCAACAAAAATCATAAGATTATGTTTGGTAATGTTGTTACCTTACTTAAAATAATGTTGTTTTAAAACCATAAATCGATTTTGTGAATTAACCAAATAATGGAATTATATCAAGTAATAAATACTGTAGTTACTTGACTGGAAGATCAAATATATAAAGTCAAAATAGGGCGACAACTAGAACGGGGGATTTTAAACGAACCCTCTGGTCTACGCCATGCTAGATATGGAAGTCAAAACTTGACCAATTCTATAGGACCAAGAGTCTAAAATGGGCAATTAGAAATATTTATAAAATATTAGAGCATCAATTTGTAAAAAAAAAAAGTTGCTGCATTTTTTTAATGAAAATATTTAGTTAGTTTAATACAATAAATAGTAATGCTTTAAATATGTATCTAAGGCTTGATATAGTCGATAGACTATGTGGTTTATATTGTGATTTATTGTTTGATTTGGTGATATTGGCTTCTTTGTAATAAATACCAAGTCGGTGAACACATGGCTCCCGATCTCATAACTATGAATGGCAAAAGGAATCCAAACTATTATCTTACTCATAGCAACATTTTTGACTATTTATTTTGTACAATCCTTACATGGTTTGTTTAGAAATGGTATTGTATTTAGGAAAAAGTGAAAATTTTCGACAATATAATGGAAAATCTCACTTAAACAAGATTTCTTTTAAACTTCAAATATTATCAAATGAACACAAGGGAAAAATAAAAGAACTTCAATGTCTCTCCAACAACAAAGTGTTAGTTACTCCACCACCTAACTCATGCTACGTTATGTCACAATGTTACGTTATATCATAGATGAAATTAAACATGTCAATTAACAAAAGGTGTTAGCGATCTCATACCGTTAGTAATTATATATTAAAATATAATTGATAATCGTTACCTACCCTGTTGAATTAAGTAAATGAGATAAATGTCATCTAACAATTTATTTGTTTTGCAATTTGAATCCAAAACTTTATTAATTAATGTTTTAAAAACTAAAAGGATATTAATTGTTGAAGATATAAAAATTCAAAATATTAAATGAATTTTGTTAATTTTCATAGATGATCACAAAACCCACTCTTACACCAATGTACCAGCTTTCCCGGTCTGAGTTACAAGAGACAATGACATTCGATGGTTATAATTTATGTTACTGATATCGTTCTTTGAAAATCAATCTAAAAAACAAACAAAGTTATACTTTTTAAAAGGTCTCATTCCTGAACAACCTCTACTAACCAACGGGTCTGATCACAATGCTTGGTGGAAGCATCGTTGTGATGTCATTTATATGTCTCACATCATACTGGGAACAATGATCTCTGACCTTCAGAAGGACTTGGGAATTTTAGAAGCATATAAAATGTTTTGTCAAGTGAAACAGATATTCCAACAGTACAGTGATGTATGGTGCAAACTTGTTCATATGTTAGATACTAGCAAGGTCAAGGAGAGTCACAATGTGTGCTTTAAAAGGCCTATGGTTTAGAAAAATGATATGTATAAAAAAAAACATGGTTATAAATCCAAGAAATAAAGAAAGAACCCCAAGGATGGAGTTTGTTTTTATTTGGGAGAAACATGACACTAGAAGAGAAATTGCTCATTTTATCTTACTGAGATAATAAAGTCTGGTAGGACCAACACTTCAAGCATCTATTTGATGGAACTTTTACTTTTTATTCAACACTCAAGTATTTGATACTAAGTGTGAAACTAATATTTATAAATGTGTTAAAAATATTCAAGAAGAATAAGAAGCTGAGAAGTGTTAGTGATTTGTATCATCAATATTTTTTAAGTGTAATGGGATAAACTTGTTGACCAATGTAATCTTGATAAATATTAAACAAGTAAGGGTGGTGCAGAGTGCACACTTTTTATTCAAATTTAAAGTACACTGTTATTTACAGGCGAAGCCCCTGCACCATGGGGGTCCGAGGGCAACACACCTGGTAGCGGGGTCCAAGGGGTGGCAACTCCGTAGCGAGGTCCAAGGGGCAGATCCCCTGGTTGGTTTTGACCATGATTTGAACTTATAGAAACTTATTTTCTTCCCATATTGCTAAACAAACCACCAAAGCATAAATGAAAATGGATTTGAGAAGATCTTTTCCAGCTTAGGAGATGTTTAAATAAGCAAGAAATGGAGCAGATCTAGAGATCTGGGAGAAGAAACAAAAGTAGATCTAGAGATCTGAACGTTTGCGAAGAAGATCTGAACAAATCTTGGCGAGAGTCGGACGAATCTAAACAAATAATGGTTCAAATGAACGGATCTGAGCAGATCTGAGGCGAAACCGAGGTTGATACCAAGAGACGATAACTATTTATTCTTGGTCCCACGGATGGCGCCAAATGTTTCGACATGAACTCAGGCTGTCGGGTCTTCTATGTTGGTTTTGGATCGGAGATCTGCAGGTGGTGTCGTTACCAAGTTTCCGGCGAGATACCTAAGCAAACATCACAACAAATTCGTTAGCATTTCCCCAAGGATTGTGTCCTGGGAGCAAGCTCCGACGATCAAGTTAGATTGGTGTTGAGTATGAATGGGTTTCTCCTACTCGGAGAGAACAACTTTGGTATGTGGGGTGTATATTTGGCCATGGAGGCTCTAGGGTTTAGATCCCCTGGAAGTTTAACGACCCAATTTTACGAAGAAAATTTTCATTTTTGATTATCCAAACACATTTCCATACATTAAGAAATCCAGTTATAATTGTTTTCAAAACATAAGTCAAATACAACTTTTATTCCAACATCAGAGTGTCCCATAAAACGCCCGTGAGAAAGTGCACGTCGCGCCATCAAGCCTTGCCCTTGCCTTTAGGATCCGATGTACCTGAAACAATTCCACAACCTGTAAGCTAATGCTTAGTGAGTCCCCCCAGAGCATACCCCACACACAATCCACATATCATGTTAGCTATAAAAGCTACCTCTACCACATAGCACATATCGATTAGCTATAAAAGCTACCTCTACCACATATCACATAACAATTAGCTATAAAAGCTACCTCTACCACCTATCACATATTAATCAGCTATCAAAGCTATCTCTACCATTAGCCTCAAAGGCTATCTCTACACTTAGCCATAATGGCTATCTCTACCCTTAGCCGTGAAGGCTATCTCTACCATTAGCCATAAAGGCTATCTCTACCATTATCCTTGAAGGTTATCTCTACCATTATGTGACATCCCCAATTTCACGGCCAGAAAAGACCGATTTAATTTATGCTTTTAAAATAATTTCAGAGTAATCATTTGATTAAAAGTGTTGCGGAATTTGTTCCCAGAAAAACATGATAAATATGTTATCAAATCATTTCCGAAGAAATGTATTTTATTCACTTAAACCATTGGGATGTCATTGTCAATACAAAAACATAAGCATAAACAAAACTTACATTCATTTACACTAGTGATCTACTTCTCTTTTAATCTCTCAGTGTAAAGCAACTTCGTATCGATACCTGTGATACAATTAAACTGAGTGGGTCAGGCTTGGGAGCCTGGTGAGCATATAGGGTTTTCACCCCACATTAAATAATAAACTTATTAAGTTCTCAATCAATAAATTTATTAATTTCATCAACCAAAATATAACCCTAATTACCCATTCCCATTATCCTCACTTTACGTCCCTAAAACAACTATCACAACGGACCTAGCCTAAGGATTATCACTAAGGGTGACAACATTGCTTTGGGGGTTCCTCAGCAAGTTATGTTAAATAAAACAAACATCAGGGTGACAACATTGCTTTCCCTCAGCAAGTTATGTCAAACAAAACACCCTAACATAAAACAACCTATAAAGTGACAACATTGCTTCCTTCTGCAATTTATGTCAAATAAGACATGAAGTCACATCGTTGCCATGTGCTAAATCTATAGCTCTTATTCATCGACGGTATTTCCCACGGGTGTTTCCCCCCCGCAATACATGTCAATGGGTTTTCCATATGCTAAGTCCATAGCTCTTATTCATCGACGGTATTTCCCACGGGTTCCCCCCCCCCCCCCCCCGCAATACATGTCAATGGTTTTTCCATACAGCTGATGAACATACTAAGAGGTTCCCCCAGCCATACATGCACTAAAGGAAATCATGAGGGGAATAGAGTATAGCGAATGAACACTCTAGTCCATTAACACCTACAGGTTGCGAGCCTGCTAGTGTTCCACAGACCGTCTAGACAGTCCATGTTGTCATCCATACTCTGCTGAATGACGGGGGTCAACGTTTGGGTAAGGCTTTTCTCATATTGCAACCACTCACGCCAACGTTTGAGTAAGGGCTTTTCTCATATTTCACCACTCACTCTCAACTCATGATCTATATCACTGATCATCGCATCTATCCAACTCACCTTTCATCACACACCCACTATTTAACTCATGATCTATATCACTAACTCATGAAGCTCGTCCGATCACTTCATAAAAGAACAAAGACTCCAAAGCTCTTCCAAATAAAAGTATAGGG